AAGGGTAAAGGGTGTCAACTGAACTAAAATCGTGAACTTCAATGAAATAAAACTCGTACAATCGTTGGTTTCAGTACGAAACACACGTGTTCAACGGATGCAGAGAAGCCCATTTCCTTTGTTAAATTCCTTTGTTGAATCTGGCGTTAACAATAAAATGTTTCCATTGAGGCGAAAGGATTAAACGCCGCGATCTTTTTTCACACTTGAGAGTCTCTGAATGGGGAATATTCAAGCGGAAAATCACGAATTACAGCACTTAGGCAGCATTTTATCCCACATAATGATACTTTTTGAAGAGGAAATTGCATACTGAATATAACTATAGTTTCACAATTCAAAAATTCGCCGTATTTAAAAAGTCGAGGTATTTTTTTTGGAAAAATTTCACCAAAACTTTCCTCATCTTAACGTAGGCGGCGCTATATATATTTCATTCTCGCACGTGCACCGTATCCTTATGGCATTGCAAGGGGATGGGGGCGGGGCTGGCTGCCTGTCTTGTATACATGTACAGTTTATAGCCCTTTTATTTAATAAACATTACGACTTTTAATAAATATATTTCGCTTGTTCCCCCTCCCCCCCCCCCCATCTCATACGACAAAAAAAATCCCGCCTCCCTCTTGCTCATGTGTATACCGGGGCCCTTTTATTCATATCCTTATACGCGTCTCTTTTGTTCCATTAAAGTTGACTTTTATTCAGATTGCATTTTTTTCACTGACTTTAATTATCTATTGTTATAGTTGTAGACCTATTCAAATTTAATTCGTGAGATAAATTAAAATTGTGATGCTAGGATAAGATTGGGTAAACGGGTGATACACAGATCGGGCGGCGGCTATCGCGCTAATAATGCGCGCACTGAGAATGAAATATATATATAGCGCCGCCTACGTTAGGATGAGGAAAGTTTTGGTGAAATTTTTCCAAAAAAATTTCCTCGACTTTTTAAATACGGCGAATTTTTGCATTTTGAAACTATAGATGTATTCAGTATGCAATTTCCTCTTCAAAAAGTATCATTATGTGGGATAAAGTGCTGCCTAAGTGCTGTAAATCGTGATTTTCCGCTTCAATATTCCCCATTCAGATGCACTCAAGCGTGACAAAAAGATCCCGGCGTTTAATCCTTTTCCCTCAATGGAAACATTTTATTGTTAACGCAAGATTCAACAAAGGAATGTAACAAAAGAAATAGGCTTCTCTGCATCCGTTGAACACGTGTGTTTTTTTACTGAAACCAAGGATTGTACGAGTTTTATTTCATTGAATTTCAGGATTTTAGTTCAGATGACATCCTTTACCCTTTTTCAATTAAATTTAGATCAACTAGAACAGCTACACCCGAATGTTTTACATCGTCAGACTGTGTTTTAAGTCTAAGCGTGCATGGGCGTCAACGTGAAAAGCCACGATAAGCCTATCTTACAATTGTAATTAAGCAGAACTAGTATAACATTGAGTGCGTTAATGGTCTTGTGGACCGGCGTAGGACTCTCAATCAGGCGACTCAGGTTCGAGTCCCACCATAATTATATTTTCTTTTTTATTTTACCTTCCCAACTTTTTATAGCCCCATGCCCAAACATAAATTTACTGAACTTATCTTTTAAATAAACTGAAGTTTTGTTTTCAGAATCCCAAACAAACTACCAAGAAAACAAACAAAACAATAACAAACAGGTATTTTTTTCACTTGTATTTATTGTGATGATTTAATATCCCTTTATTCTTGAGTTTGTGCAGCGCATTTTTTTGGGTTTTTTTTTTATATTTTGAAAGTCGTGTGAATGAAAAGCTAGGATGCATTGTTTGGAGGAAAGTCAAGTTTTTGAGTTTGAACTTGGCGATAGTCTGCAGTCGCAGTCCAAACAGAAAATTTGCCTCACTTTTTGCACAGAAGCGATAGTCTCAAAAAATTAAGCGACGCATTGAATTGAATCCTGGCCAGATGATTGGTTATGAAAAAAGACCAAACAAGACAGAAGATTGAGACAAAATATTGTTTTTCTCTCCCTCAACAGTGTCTTGTGTCAAAATGGACAAACAAATTGGCGATACGCGGGCTGCGCAGTCGCAGTCCAAACGGAAAATTTGCCTCACTTTTGCACAGAAACGATAGTCCAGCTGGACACGCTATCTCAAAAATTAAGAGACGCATTGAATTGAATTCTACCTAGATAATTGGTCATGAAAAATAGACAAACAAGACAGGAGATTGAGATGAAATATTGTTTTTCTCTCCCTCAACAGTGTCGGAGAAAATTTTAGCGATAGGCTGCAGTCGCAGTCCGAACAGAACATTGGCCTCACTTTTGTAAACGATAGTCAAGGTAGACACGCTATCTCAAAAATTAAGTGACGCATCGAATTGAATTCTGGCCAGATAATTGGTTATGACACATAGACAAACAAGACAAAAGATTGAAACAAAATATTGTTTTTCTCTCCCTCAACAGTGTCTTGTTTCAACACGGAGAAAAAGTTGGCGATAGGCTGCAGTCACAGTCCAAACAGAACATTTGCCTCACTTTTTGCACAGAAACGATAGTCCAGCTGGACATCTCAAACCTTAAGTGACGCATTGAATTAAGCTTGGCCAGCTGATTGTGTTTTATTTTTGTTCACTTAATGCTGACTTCGTTTGGGCAGATCGTGATCCACGGTGACAGAAGTCTTGAAGGTGGTGACCAGTATTTTTGTAGCGCGCCCTCTTTTGGAAGATATTGATGTTTGTAAAATGTACGGGAAAGCCCTCCTTATACACACTGTAGTTTTTGTTTTTGTTCTTTAATCTTTTTTCTTCAACGGTTTCTGTCGAATTTCATTGTTGTATATCACAGTCAATAATGGGACGCAATTTCAAATCAGTGCAATGTGTTTTTCTCGAGTTACGGTCTCCTGGTCTCCACAAAGAGTACTTTATTTTTGTCAAAAGTGACTCGAATTCGAATCGAATTTTTCGAGATTAGTACGCTGTATTTCTTTAAATCAAATTAAATTTATTCTTTGATGGTTCCTGTCAATTTTCAACCCACTTGTGTCTTATACCCCGAACAATTATCGAACGAAATTTCAATTCAGTGCAGTGCGTTGTTCTTGAGTTATCGTCTCCACAATGAGTGCTGTTTTTTGTTCCATTAAAAGTGACTCGAATTCGAATTGAATTTGTCGCGATTAGTACACTGTATTTCTTTAAATCATATTATATTTATTCTTCAATGGTTCCCGTCGATTTTCAAACCACTTGTCTCCTATATCCCTAAAAAATATTGAACAAAATTTCAATACAGCGCATTGTGTCGTTCTTGAGTTATCGTCTCCACAAAGTCTGTTTTCATTTTGTTAACTCAATGCCGACTTCGTTTGGGCAGATGGTGATCCACGTTGACAGAAGTTTTTTGACCGGTATTTGTGTAGCGCGCCCTCTTTTGGAAGAAATTGATGTGGTAAGATGTACGGGAGTGCTCCTTTTGGTTGTTTATTGTATTAAATTTTTGTATTTTTTTCTTCAACGTTTTTTTGTCGAATTTCCAATATATTGTCATCCAAGGGCGGATCCAGAACACAATTTTTTTGGGGGGGGGCAAAAAAAAAATTGGTCACCCAAAAAGTGGGTTAAAAAAATTACGGCGTGGATTTCGGGGCCCGCTTATTGTTGAAAAACATAAAGGGGACTAAACTCCCTGTGAAATTATCCTTTCTGGCAAGCTCTCATTTTGAAGAAATCAACCAAAGAAGGCATTTCCAACGGTGCGTCTTAAGAAGCACCATAGGAAAATTTAAAATTAGTAGTTCGTTTTGTTATTCGGCGCAGCGGCCGCCAGCGGGCACCAGCATTGGAACGATGCACACGCGCGCGCGGTTGCTATAATTCGTCGGATCAGTGCGCGACATCGCGTAAAGCTGCAATTCAAAACAATTCGAAACATGATTTAGCAACTTTTGATTTGAAATTGAGATCCTAGAATGCTGTTTTTCTCGGAATATAAAGCTGAAGCAAGTTGTTCAGTATCCTTCATTAGATTGTGAACAAATTGTTGCTTCAAACGAACAAAATGCACTAATTACAAATGATGGACTATAGCTTTAAACATTGAGAGGCTTTAAACATTGAGAGGCCTCATCAGGCTCTGTTGGTTGTTCTCGTGTTATTTTTTCACCAACCCCTCGGCATTTTTCTTCAGATGCGGATCTTTTAAAAGCTGCTTTTCTTGTATTCTTTTGTGCAAAATAATTTTCAAGGATTTGCTGCACACTAAAGGCTCCTGTTTAATGCAGGTTACAGCAATGTCTACGCCTCTAAAATTCTGACGGATATAAATCATAACATGCAGCAACCACAGCAAAAGCACTGACGGCAATTTAACCCCTATACAGTTTGTCCCACAAAAGTGTCCGTCTAAATATTTTTTAAAATATTTATTTTTTAATTGTGCAAATACTCTTTATCCTTGGCCTCAACCCTTACCAGTTTTATGTCATTTTCCTTACGCGTCACTGAACAGTGGTCAATTGTACACAACACCTTTCGACACTAAAGTTTCTTGCCTTAATCAATTTCAGTGGTTCGTTATGTAAGCTGTGTAAAATCCTTAATAATGTGAAAAGGGCTGTGGTTGGGGATTGGAATCATTTGCGTGGCTATGGACACAATTTGCCCTTGAGCATTAAACTACGGTTTTGCCATGATGACTGATAGTGAGGCAAAATTATGCCAATTTATTAAAGTCAACTCCGATTGGTCGAGGCACGTGATCGCATAAATCTGCATGCTTGGATGTATCAGAGGTTATACAGGAAAATGGGCTCCGTGGATAACAGGTGATACTCAGACTACATGTATGTGCAGTGAGACATTAGGGAAATTAAGTAAAACTTGTGTGGGTTAATGCCAAGGATTAGAGAAGTATCTGCACAATTAAACATCTTCAAAATTTACTCTGTGGTTTTTCTGTTAGTTTAAAAAAAATATTTAGATGGACACATTTTTGTGGACACACTGTATGTAACACACCTATAGTTAAGAGTGATGATTTCGAGCCGAATTTCCCTCAATACCAAGATCCCTAGCATCTGGCTGGTTTTCAAATGCTTCTACGTCTTTGGTGCTGTTGGACTGCAAGTATAAAAAAAGGTAGCAAAATACTAGCGTGAGTCTAATGACATCTTGTTATGAGCGATATAACTGCAAGGACAAAACAGACTTGGTTGATAATCGCACAAAATGGTTCAGTTTCAATAAAATGGTTCAGTTTCAAGAAATGTCTGGGAAAAAAAAGGATAATGGCACTTTTGATAAGATTTAGTGTTTCTTCAGGCTTCATTGGTGGGAAAAAACATGTCTTTGTTTTCCTTATTGTGGAGGTTTATAAACAAGTTTATGTTAAGCTCAGAGAAAACAAATAGAAACAAATGTATTTGAGGCAGTTACCACATCTACACATGTACCGGTGGTGGTGACCAGTGGGGAGTCCCCACCCCACTCCCCGGCTCAGATTTTCAGGGGGAAAAGGCCCATAAATTGTTTGAAAATATGACCAATGCAATATTGGGCCCCCTCTAAAAACAAGTGCGAGCGCACAATAAGCTCTGGCCGCGTTAGACTCAAGCGAGGCTGATGAAGAAGTCTTGCATGAAAGTCTTGTATGAAATCGCTCAAAATGCGATCCCTGCCAGAGCTTAAAAATGGACACCGATGGCACATGTCAAACACCATACTTTTGGTCAATTTTCTGGACAGACAGACAGACAGACAGCCCGACATACAGACCACCAAGTTGAAACTCATGTCTGAGCTTACAAACGAGGTCCCCTAAGTAAGTCCCCATTTTATTATGCATTTTATTATTTATTTCATTGTGCCATGAGCGCCATCTGTGACGAATACCGGCGCAGTACAAATCTTCATTATCGTTTCCTGCAAATTCAATTGGATTGATTTCAGTACAAATATGCTGTACTTAACTGAGCAAATGTGGGACTTTTACCTGTATGACTGCTCGCGCCACAAAAATTCAGTGTGCTGGAGTCGATATGTTGAGCGCAAACAATGTTGTTTACAATTCCTTTGACGTTGATGTTAACTGAAGTAGCTACCAGCCTTTCTGTCAGATGTAAATCCTTTCAGCTCAAGACTTCCTTTCTGCCTTGTTTCCAATGGAAAGGATTCCACTTCGCATTGGTCACTTTCCGGGTTACTGCAGGCAGCCACGTCCTCTTCTACTATTGCTCTTTCCATATAAACATGATCTGTGAGCAGATAAGGGGTAGCGGCTGCACTTAAAGCAGCAGCAATGACAACCACACAATTCCAATGCTGCGGAGCAATGTGGTCAACAACTGACAAACTCATCACAGCTACTGTAATCAAAATGAAAGGCCAATCAATATTTGTTTGGTCCAGAGACAATTCCTCTGCCTCGTCATCTTCTGTCTTGATATTTTCTTCAAAGCCAATTAACGCCAGCAAGAACACACAACAAATTAGAACAGGAAAACCAACCAAACCAATGACACATCGAGCAATACCCTTCAGAAAAGAGCACGTCTCATGTTCTTCAACGCAGCCTGAATTTTCTTTCTTTGTCAGAGCTTCAGAATTTGGCTCAGTTTCCATTCCACCAAAAACAACTGAAGAAACAGCAGAAACAAAAGTTGCGACAAGAACAGCAGCGATAACAGGATACACAGCAACAGCGATAACAATACCACCACAAACAATAACAAGAATCAGACGACACTTGGACTCATCAACGTCACTATCCTCCTCCTCCTCTAAAGCATCTGCTTCTTCACCAGACATTCCTAGCCTACCGTCAACAGGTTCCAAATCATCTTCAGTAAGAGCAGCAACTACAGCAGAAACAGCCATAACACCTGCAACGATAACAGTGGAAATGGCAAAAGCTGGGGCATACCATACAACAGCAACAAGTCCAGCAAAATAAATACAACCCACAATCCAAACCAAAGCAATACTTTCGCCAGGTACATCATCAGGTTCAGTTGCAATTTCCATAGAGTTGGTCTTCTTTTGGATATCTCCAGGAACAGCAACAATGCCAAGCTCTGTTTCAGTCTGAGTTCCCTGTTCCTTGGAGTGTTTAACCTCTGGCTCAACCTCGAGTCTGTCCCCCTTTGCGAACCGGGGGAGAGACTCGGTGCTAAGATTATCTGTGATTCCGGCTCTGGGGATGCAAGCAGAAGCAGGGTTCGTTACAGAACCACCAACATCCTTCAAGACTTCACGCTGATCTTGTGTCTGGTCATCTCTTGCTGGCCTGTCTGCATCGTTCTGGAGATGCCCAGCAGTCTCTTGTTTGACTTGACAGTCGTTGGCATCGCAGGCATGCACGTTCTTGATTGGTCGACTAGATGACATGGTGCTGTTGTTCGTTGTCTTTAGAGTAGACGACTGATGTAACTATATCAAATAAATTTTAAAAAAAACCAGCAAATGCTGTTAGGTATTCAGTTTTAAAATCTGCAGCCATAACAATTGGTCTGTGACAGTGGGGGGGGGGGGGGGGGGGGGTGTAGTAGCTACCCCCCCCCCCCCCCCCCCCCCCCGTATTTGATGTCATCATAAAAAAAAAATTTAAAATGCTGTTTTTAACAGGTATTAAGAGGTCATGTGTGACATCACTATCGAAAAAAAAAAACAACAAGTGGCGCTTAATCAATGAGTGTTTCGCATAATAATATGTGCGCCCCAAAAGCCCATATCATATACAGTGCGGGGCACATATCACTACAAGAAACAGTCATTCTCAGTGATTCAGTGCGACTTGTTTTTCTTTTATCGATGACGGTGATATCACACACGCCCTCAACGGATCAGCCATGAAATGGATAGCACAACTCAGCAGACACATTTAATTGTGAGAGGTTATTTCATCAGAATATTTTTTATTCAAAATTACCACTTGTTGGGAACAATTTGAGTGGTCTTCAGAAATGTCATCAAAAGATCTATCCGGGGTTAATAACTGTCTTTCTCATTTGTATTCTTTTTACAAGGTTTTTTTCTGGCAGTGGATATTTAGCCGGAGACGGCAAACCTTTAGTGAATGTTAGCTTGCCGGATATGCACTGAACATGCGCAGTTACACGGGTTTTTTTTTACTTAGACATTTTTCGGTGACAAATTTTAGTCTAGCTCCATGCCAATATTATCGCTGTATAACTTCGTATTCACAAGATGGGAATCATACCATTTTACAATTTCGGACTTTATTTCCTTAAAAAAAAACCTCCACAGCCACAAATCTGAAAAAGAAAGTGTAATACTCTGCTATTAAATGTTTGAGACATGTTTAAATAATAAAAGAAGAATATTCTTATTTTTGGGGATGGGGACACCTTAGAAATTTCGCCAGCTGGGATCGACCCCGTGGGGGCTCTTTCCGCCCATGAGATCCGTTGCTTATCCACTAGACCACAGGTGCTACACAACCGTTGGTGGTAATTTAATACATGTATTTCTTATAATATCAGTCCTATCTTAGAGAGTACAGCGCCCTCTGTTGGTAGGGATTGCCGCCAGCAAACCTTTAGTAAACGTTAGCTTGCCGAGATTACTGCCGGCAAAATATCCACTACATTGTATCTTCTTTTTTTCTCCCCAAAAAGGGTATGCAAAAAAAATGCATATCGTGTGTAAATGTTAGCTTGAGTAACTCCAGCTGACATGCTCATGAATGAATGAGCATGTCAGCTGGAGTTACTCAAGCTACATGAGAACTAGCCCGACTGCGTCTGGCCGTACAGTACTATCGCAAGCTCTGTAGTGAGCTTGCGATAGTACTGTACGGCCAGACGCAGTTGGGCTACATGAGAACGAGATATTTTTCCATCGAAAAATAGGAATGAAATTCCATCAACAAAATCAAATCCTTTTTAACAAATATATGATTGAGAATTGAGAGAACAACTTACCAAAGCAATCTGCATCACAGTCTCGAATTATCGGGTTTGAAGCCAAATTTGTCAACAGAAAACGAACTATTCGCACTAAATCGCAGCAACTGCGAAATCAACTTTCACTAGGGAAATCCCCATCTGTTGCAATCGCGCACCCAGATGAGGGCGCCCTATAGTTAAGCCGGTTAATGATTTTCACAAGGTCGAAATGGAAAGTTTATTAAGTGTTTTGTTTTTTCATATGGAAAGCTACAAAGTTAATTCATAAGGTAGACAAGGTCTGAAAAAAACACCATGTTTTTCGATAAGAAGAAAACTCCAAATTACCTTCACATATACTCCAAAGTATGTTGTACAAATCCTCGACACTTTAGCCTACTTAGTTAAAGTTTTCAGTCCTAAGGCGAAGTAAAAAAAAAAACATGTTTCTCGTCCCCCTCTGCTTCCTTTTTGGAGGCCTTCTGGATTAAAAAAAAAAAAATTGAAAAAATGCAGTAAAAAAACACCGAAAAGGTCAAATGCACTCTAAAACTGTTCATTGTAGACCGACACAACTCTAAATGACACTGTAATTATGTTCAGTTCTCTTGTCCAACTTGTCATTCATTTTAAAAGTGTCTTTGAACAGTGCAAACACCAACGGTTGCAGGAAATTTTAAATTGGCGGCCATCTTGAAGAAAATAAAAAAAATAAAAAATAAAAAGCCCCGTTTCCTCCTTTTTTTCAAAAACCCGGACGAGAAACGTGTTTTTTTTTTATATTCAGCCTAAAAGTGGGAGCTATAATTTGCATATCTAACATCATTGGCCGAGTTGTGTGTTGTTCGCTGCCGCATTGGATTCAGTAATGCACGCCTAGCAAAAGTATGGGGTTCTAATTTGCATATCGAACTTCTTATCGCCTTCTTAACAAAAGCTATTCGCTGTCGGGACACAAATGTTTTTAAAAAGGGGACATTGCTACCAAACAACATCGAGGCCTTATTGAGCAAAATATATCTGCAACACTTTGGTCCTTTGGGCACCAACATTTCAAAAAATGAATGATAGTTAAATGAATGAAAAACACTTTGAGACAACGTGTCCTTGATGGCCAACCATTATATTTATTTCTTCCAAAATGATTTGCATTTTCATTTATCTACAAAATGTTATTACAGGACATGAGAAAAGCATAAGTACAATGAGATGCATCTATTTCTACTGCAGGGGGAGTCCAAGAAAAGGTCCCTTTTGTCCCATACGTAAACGCCATGTTTTCTTTAATTACATAATCAACGCAGAGACTAACAACATAATTCTTGTGGGTATTCTCCTTGTAGATGCCCAACAGTAGAATAAAAAACACTAAAATCCATGAATATCTTAAGAGGGTTAAGCTCTGGTTACGCATGAGACATTGCGTGCGCGATTTCTTGGACTTGCCCTCTATCATTTTGTAAAACTGCATTTTGTAAGAATTTGTTGTTTTAGTCGGCCAACTAAGTTAACAACAGAAACAAAAACAAATTTTCTATTAGAATCCAAAGCTAGGCTCCCATTGCTAAGCCATTGTAGGACACTGTGAACCATTCACCTTCAATCTTAAAGAGGTTGTGGAATGCTCGAAAACATTTCCGTCATTTTTCGGGTATATGTAGCCTAAGGTGTGATGAAATAAAAACGACTATTGTTTCTGTCATGAAATGAGTACAAAAGGTACTTTTGAGAGCTGTTTTTCAAGTCCAGTTTCGACCCGAACGTGCAACTGTGTAAAAGTCGTCGTTGCGGGCAGCAAACAAAACACAGTAAATCGTGACGTAATAAACAGGACTCCCGATGCACAGTAGCATACTGTAACAAAATTTGATTTTATTATGGTCCCAATTGCACCTTTAAACTATACAGAGAGCGTGTTGGCCACAGTAATCCATAGCAGTCATGTATTACACCTGTTCTCAAGTCAGATTAATGCCACAAAACTATTTCAGAGCTTACTTTGTTCAACTTAAGTCTTAACCTACTTTAAACCACAATAGAATAGTATTTGGGTTGCAGTCAAACCACAGATGGAGCTCTCATGGCAGTCTTTATTGTTTACTCTCACAATACTGGGATATAAGTTCCTTGCCCCCATACCTCTGTACTTAGTGATTATGCAAATATCTCCCAGTACGAAAGACACACTGCATTAGTATG